TGCTATGCCTCAAGAGCTTTTTTAAAAGTTTATGGTGGCAATTCGAGTGATCAAACGTCATAGAATTGATGCTTGGATTGTTATGCACGTTTTGATACCTACTGATTGTCTTGGAACGGAGTTTCAAGTAAGAACCCAAAATCCGGCCAAGTCCATAAACTTGTGCTTCTTCGACCACCAATTCGGTACGATCCGTGATGTTCTAAGATTTCATTTGATCATAAATTGAAGATGACGATTAGTTTGTGATAAATGTCGTCCATTTTGGTATCCGTTTGAGCTCGTTTCAATTTTGGGAAGTCGTCGGAAACTGGCAACCGGAAAAGTATGTCTTCTTTATACTCAAAATTTGGTGTCATCCGGCCTCCGATCATTCACAAAAATTATATCAAACTGAAGCTCTTTGAAGCACGATCGCAGCAGACCCATACTTGCGACGATCCAACATCAAGATCTTGAGCTATGACCACTCAAAGAATGGGATGTTTATCTTTTTAAAGTCTAAATTTTCATGTTTCGAGCCTATCTTCTCTCTAAGAATTCTCTCATTAATGGCTATGACATGATGTGTGCCATATGTCAAAACGAGTCTATCGTCGAGATCTAGCTCGTGTCCAAATTTAATATTATATTGGACAAAAAATAAGAAAAATATGAGCATTTGAAATTCATCCCGAAATAGAAAAACACAGTTTCCATAAATAGAAACTGGTTCACCGAGGGTGCACCGCAATAGTGTTGTAGTTATATGGTCTATTTTCAATATGATAAGAACTGGATTTGAAAACTGAGTTTCATCCTGATTATGTCAAAACTTTTATATAGTCTATTTTCAATATGATAGGAACTTGATTTGAAAATTGAGTTTCATCCTGAAGGAGCATTTGATAGTTTTAGTTTGTAATTTATCTCTATTTTGTTATGGTCTAAGTACATGTACCCAAAAACTTCAAACTTTCAAGATAATAAGGTCAAGTTCCTACCAATCCATAATTCATAGGGGTCAAGGCTTTGGATTTAATTGGAACACGATTAATGATATATATTGTAGTATTAAGAGCCTCACCCAAAAATGAGGTGATAAATCTGAATGGCTCATCATTGACCTAACCATGTCCATTAATGTTCTATTTCTTCTTTCATCTACACCATTTTATTGTGGTGTATATGGCATGAAGGTTTAGTGAATTATACTATGCTCCGTACAAAAATCGATAAATAAGTTGGACCAATATTCACCTCCCCTATCTGTTTTAAGAATTTTAATATGTCTACCTAGTTGCTTTTCTACTTTAGCTTCATATTTTTAAAATATTTCTTCTAATTAAGTATGGAAAAGTTTATAGAAGATTGCAACTTTAAAATGTAGAAGTAAATATGCACCTAAAAAATCCATTGAAGCATAATTGTTAATTTAGTTAATTTACCAGAAATACAAGGCTCACTTGTTTTAAGCATAATTTATCCTAAGTTGGAGAACAAGCCTCTTTTAACCATTTGTCCATTTTATCTTTATTTATATATCATAATTTTAAATGCCGTAAATGTGAATCATCCACATATACATAAGCATCAATATAACCAAAATAGGATTTCGGATGAATTTTCATAAATTTTCAATCAGTACAAATTGTTAACTTTAATAACATACACTAATGCTCGAGAATGTTTACCAATTGTGACTCGACCAAACCTGAACCTTATTTCATAAACCTTATCGTCTAGCCTAGGAACAGAAATCAAATTGCACTTCATATTAGGCGCATATAAAATATCAGTAATTATGAGATTTGCTCATTCAAGTAGACACAACTTAAAAGTATCGGCACCAAGTACATCGCAATAGGGTATCATTTCCCATATAAATTCGCTAGTTACCGACTGTGAACTCTCTCAACTCTGTGAATCTATCCTTCGTCCTCGAGACATGTCAAGTGAAGACTGAGTCGACTCACTAATTCCTCAGGTCATGGTCGACAACTAAAGACTCGAGGACTACACAGATCAAGTTCTTTCTTTTATTTTGAGTATTATTATTATTTATAGCATTGTTATTATTCCGGTTCCTATTTTATACTTTTTAATATTAGGCAAACTTGAAATTTCAAATGGCATCTAGGCTAGTCATAGCAAAACTTGATAAACTCAATGGAACTAATTTTCTTATGTGGAAAATAAAAATTGGATATATTCTCATCCAAGATAGGGTGGATTATGTTCTAGATATAGAACCACCAGTTTTAGAGCCTAATGTCAATGGTCAAGCCAGAAGGCGATCTAACAAATGGTTAGGAGATGATAACGTAAATAGGACTACTCTGTTGAGTTTTATGGATGATGACTTGATTAGAGGTTTTGATGAACACCCCATATCTCGAAGTATGATGGGTGCCATATCTGAAAAGTATGAGACCACTTTTGAGACCCATGTACAAAATTGGTCAAAATATTATTCCTTTTTTGAATTATTTCGATGACACGGGCTTGATTACATTTCCTTATAGGGACTAAATTGGGCATTTCCCTATGTTTCAAACGGTGAGGCCGATGCTATTATTGAGCAGCGGACTCCGGTTCTCTTTAAATTGGTAAAGAGAAAGAAGGATCACCTATTTAAATTGTATTTGGAAAGAAACAATTCTTCTTTTTTTTACTATTATTTTTGTCCTTTATGGGTGAATTGAATATGGAGAGAAAACACAATTGGCTGTCTTTCATGGAAGAGAAGAAAACGGGGTTGGTTTGCTCATAAAGATCGAGCCTTTATTTACAGGAAGATTCATAGAGATCGAGCCTTTATTTACAGGAAGATGCAATTTACAGGGAGATGAAAAAGCATAATATGCATTTAGCATAACCAAACTTGCTATAAAAAAACAAAATTCAAGAAACAAAAGAAGAAATATAACACGAAAACAATATAGAGATGAAACTTGGATTGCTCTGATACCTGCGTTAGAAAAAAAAGAGAAGATGAACCCATCAAAAATTTCAGGGATTGATGGCAACATAATTAAACTGTAATTCACAGAGAGTCAGAGCCTTTCTAGAATGATTGAGAATATTTTTTGTTTCTCGGTGTTTACTGGAATTTTTGAGAAGTGAACCCTCAATGCTTGAGAGATAGGGGAAAAAAAAGTTCTCTCTAAAAAACTTTTTAAAGATAAATAGCAATTAATACATAATCTTTTTTAAAAAAACATTAATTAGATAAAAAAAGAAATATGTGACATATGTGACGCCTCGTGGCCATACACATGTAACAACATATGCCTTTTCTAAGTGACATGGGCTTAGAGAAAGAAGAGAATTTAATTGCAATAATGAAAGTGCAATACATTTAGCAAAGAATCAGAATTATTGTGCAAAGACCAAACATATTGGTGTCAAATACTATTTTATCCATGAGATGACATAAAGATGGTGATATTTCCTTGTTCACCAAATATAATGCAACCTATATGTTGATAAAGTTGGTTCCCTGCAAATGTCCAAGCTTTTTTTTGGAGTTTATTAATCTCATTGCAAAATGATTGGTGCACACCGTGGGCTTTATGTTGGAAAGATGGTTAATGGGTATCTCTGTTGTTGAACTAATAGAGTTTAAGCAAAGGAGATTTATTGTATGTGTCTGTGTTTTGACTTCTATTACTTTGTGTCCTATGTTGATCCCGGGCCCTCCTACTCCATGGTCCTAATTTTGCAGGTCAGAAGGCCACTTCCTAGTTGGGAGAGTCGGGGGGTCAAGTGGTCCGCTAGTGGGGTGGAGGGAGGGATGTCCCTACTAAAAGGAGATACATAAGCGATTCTCCTTTTGGCAGAGACAGATTTCTCAAAGGATATTCGTCCTGTACCCGTTGGAGCTACAATACTGAAACAATTGATAATTGACCATCTTTACATAAATAATGAACCACGTAAGTCTCGGGGTTCTTCTTTATGGCAATGGACCGGGACCTAACCCATACCCGCTGGGTATACCCGATACAGGTCTGGGTTTTGGTCCAAGTTTTGATGCTGCAGGTAGGTTTTGGGTCCCATAAAGGATATCTAGAAAGTCCTAGGTCCGGGTATGGGTCTTACTATACTCGACCCGACGGGTACTCGGACCCGAATTTTTAATTTACCTAAAGGCCAAAGCCCCAACTCTAAAATCATTTCAATACTTTCCATCTTCCCCTGGTTCCTTAAACTGTCAAACTTGATCATCATCATCTCTCTTTGCAAGTCTCCCTCCCTCAGTTGCTTGGAGACATAGCTCTCTCTCTGGATCTCGAATGTCTCTCTCTCTTCATCTAATCACCCACCCCTCCAAAATATGTTCTCTCTTTTTCAACACTGTCGACTACAAAAAAGGAAGCTCATAATGAAGGTGGCAATGGACCCGATCAGATCGAAGACCCGATGGGTATAGGGATGGATCCAACTTTTGAACCCAAATACATTTGGGTCCGAGTCCAGATTCGGGTCCAGCTGGACCCGACCTATACCCGACTCATTGCCACCCCTACTTTTTTTCTTTTAGTGGTGTGATTGATTATGTTATGATTTTCGCATTTTCATCGTTCCTAACGACAGTAGAAATCTGCAATCCTAACCCCATCATATATTTTCCTGATTTTCCCGAATGTTAATTACAGGAAGCTGCATGTGTCCCAATGAGATGAAATAAAACAAAATTACAATCACCAAACAAGAAAGTAATTACAGCTCTCTCTAATTATATTGGAAAGCCTGGTGAGGGACTGCATTCTATGCACCAAAAGTAATCAGCAGCAATAATCATTTTTTGAGAAAAGTGCTAGGAACCTGTTAAAAAAAAAAAAATCACGGAAACCGTTTTCATTAACGCTTTGAAAAAATTGACTCTTTCGAAAATGAACAGGAACAGGGGCAAGAAACAAAACCATCATTATTATTAGTATGAATATTAATGACTCTACAGTTCAGTTAGCAAGTGATACAAAAGAAAAAAAAGGAAATCATCAAGATAACAAAACTCAATTGGGCTTGTAAATAATCAAGAAGCACGGCAAAACAGCCCTCCCATCAAAGATGATGACCCCACCAAAGTCAAGCCCCACAGAATCGAAATCAGCACCAATCGAAGGAGAGGAAACCCTGCCAGCAATCACCCTGCAAACCAGCATCCCCATCCTTGTCCTCGTGCTGCTGCGGCCGCATTTCATCTCATGCGCCCTCCGACTACTATGAGAGAAACATATGCCATTGTTCTTGTCAACTACTTGGAAGCCCTTGTGTACAAATGTACAGGCCCCACACCGTGGGTCCCCACAGGGCCGGGGGGCTGCAGACTTGGAGAGGCAGGCCAGAGGGGCGCAGTGGAAGCGGAGCAGCTCGTTCCCGTCTGCTGCGCACCGAGCTGCTTCGCTGTTGCTGCTGTTCTTGGCACCGGCCTTTGCCTTCACTGCTGCCCTGTATTCCTCGAACGCCGCTGTCCGCTTGGCGGAGTTGTTCACCTTCAACACCCTCTCCATCTTCATCATACTGCCGCCACCCGCCTTGAATATGAGCTCAACTATGTTGAAAGACGACGATCCCTCCTCGACCTCCGTTAAAAGGACTTTGACCTTACTGCTGGTGGCAGCAGAATGCTGCCTTGGTGGCGCACTGCTCAATCCGGTCATTGGCAAGAGGCCATGATCGGCCCACGCCAATGATGAAGACCTTGTCACTGTTGTCTTCTTGTTATTATTCATCACATCCTTCAGGTTCTGGAGCGATTTCGAGCAGCCACCCGAGCCAGAGGTATTCTGATTGCGGTGGGGGAGGTATCCAAGGATGGGTTGATTTTTACGGTAATGCGGTTTATGGAGCTCTGTAAAACTATTGCTGCATTTCCGGCCGTTAATATCAGTGATGACTTGTTGGTGGGGTTTACGAGGGTCTGCATGGACCCTGGCTTTAGGGCCCTGGTGGCGGCCACGGCCATGAGAGTGCTGAGAAGCTTGAGACTTAGGGTTATGGCAGAGAGGTTGTTGGGATATAGAGGAGGTGGGGGGGTTGAGGAGACGGCCATGGACGTCCGAGAAAGCTTGGAATCTGCAGAGGAATGAGTTAATGATAGAGTCCCAGGAATTTGCAGAGGAGGCAGCCGCCATTGAAGGATTCTTCACATCTCTGCAACTCGCATTGTTTATGTGAGAATATATACAGTTAAGAGTGCGATGGCGAGACTGCCCTTCCTAATTTTGAATGGCTCCATCTTTTGAGAAAATTGCTCCTCGCTTTCTGTACTGAAAAAGACTTTAAACACCCTTAACTTCGTGAAGAAATGCCTTGCCACCCCATACTTCTAATTATGTCAACGGAGCCACAAAGGTAAGTAATGTTGGGTCCCGATAAAGAAGAGGAAAATGATCCAATAGGACCCTTTCTTACTCACGTGTAGAAACTCAAATGATTATCATTAAATTTGGCACAGATCTATAAAAAAGTCAAACCTCATATTTATATGATAATTTTTTTAGAGATCCATACCAACTTTAATAGTGATTTGGGGTCCTATACACATGGGTGGGAGAGGATCCTATAAAATAATTACTCTAAAGAAAAAACAAAGAGAATATAAGACGCCATTTAAAAAGGGGAAGGGGTGCGTTTTGTATAGAGCCCAACCTTTTAATCATAAAACGTAAAGCAACACCTTCTAATAGTGTTGAGAAATATGGTTTCAATATCGAAAATCTTTGTGATAGCCTTAGAATATATTTTATATCTAATTATATAAAATTTAAAACCTCAAAAATAGTTTAGATTGAGCATATTAATGAAAACATGTAAATCTTAAAAATTGATGGTCCAAAAATGTATGGCAAGATGCACTCCAGAACTTGAAATCCATTGTTTTCTCATGTACATGCATCTTGAGATCGAGATGCTTATTTTGAGGATATTTGCACTTCAAACCAACCTCTTTTAGTGAATTTTTGAGGCATGCTCTAAATTAATTGTTTAAAGCATCGGCTTTATATAAACTTTTTCCATTTAAAAATCCCCATATATTTTTTATTATTGTATACAATGAATATATAAGGTGGTCACAATTATGTACAATCATCCGATTTGAAATCTGATAACTTGGGTGTGTTACAAAGTTCGAGAAAATTTCCTTTGAAGTTTGAGCATGGTCAATGGAATAAATGCAACCATTTAATTTCACATCTAATGGTCAAGATAAATTGTGACCACCTTTTATTAAGATAAATAGTCTCATTGTATAGTTTTTCTATTTTATTTTATATTATTCACTTAAGTCTCAGTTTTTTATAGTGAATATTGTTTTTTAACTTTGTTTCTTCTATATATCCTTTGTGCATCCATACTTCCCACTATAAAGCACTTTTGTAAAAAATTATTTAAAAATCATAATTAAGTTAAATAAAATTGATCAAAATATCTCTATAAATCTCAATTTTTTTAAAGTATTTTCGTTATCTTATTTTTAAATTTTAATTATTTTTTAACTAATTTAAGCTAGTGAGAAGTATCAACTCTCAAAATTTAGCTTGATCCAATATATAAAAAAATATAATATAATTAAAACACACTACGTACTATCAAAATTGTGATTTGAGAATAAAATATAAAATATATAAAAGTATTTTAAATTTTTTTGAAATCTCTATTATTATTATTTTTTTTCTTATTTGAAGTTAGTGATTAGGTCGTGGAGGTTATATAACCAAAACTTGGGATCCCAAAGATACTCTAAGAAAATACTCCTGATACAATTTTTATTAGAGGGAACATGCAACCGTGGGAGCACATAACAGGAATTTCCTGTGCCCCTTTAAAAAGGTGAAATATTCTCTTCCTAGCAGAGCGGCAGTATCCAATAAATCCATCCTAATAAAGGACCCACTTTAAGAAAACATTTTCCCTAGTCTTTTTTTTGTTTTTTATCTATAGGTCAGCAGCAAAGGGGTCCCAACTTATAGTGGAATGGAACTCAACACTTTACAACTTATAGTGGAATGGAACTCAAGACTTTATATTGTAGTACCTAATAAAAACAAAATATTACCATTGTAGAATGTAATAGGATAAGAAAGTGCATATTACTATGGTAGAAAATAAGAAAGTACATATTACCATTGTAGAAGAATTGTATTTAACAAGATAAGAAAACGCATACTACACCATTGTATTACCATTATATATACAATGAAAGAACCACCACAAACTGTATGGGGCATAATTATTTTATCAAAAAATTCCTCTTTCTCTTGAAATTTTTTTATGGTATCAGAGCGATCATCGATCTTAATCTCAGCTTCCATTGTAGTTGTTCCTCTATTTAAAGTAAGTTTCTCTCTTTCTCTCTCTCAAAACACTAAACTCTCCCTTCCATTCGATATCTCGTTTTCTCACTTCATATTTTTTAACCTTATTGCAAACCCTCTAAAAACTTCATCTTGACCCTTTCCATTCTCTCTCTACACTTCTTTGCAAACTTTACAAATTTGTTTCCCAGATTTCCAACTCTCCCTAACGTCCAACTCTCTCCCTCTATTACTTTTTTTCTAAGATATCATCATCCTTCCATCATGCCATATTATATTTTATCTCTCATACCCATATCATCCAATCCTCTCGTTTATATACCCAATTTCTTCAAAAAAAAAAAATCTAAATCTAGTCTTGCTTACCCTCTCATCAAATATCTCTTTGTTCCAATGGACGTTTCATCATCATCAAACAAGTATCCCTATCCCTCCACTCTCAATATAAGAAACTTTGTGTCAATTAAATTGAAAGAGAACAATTACTTGTTATGGGAAATCCAAATTGTGTCTTTGATTGAGAGTCAACAATTTTTTGGATTCATTAATGGTGATTGCTGTACATCAAATCAAAAGATTCACTCTCCTGATCATAAGAGTGAATTCGAAAACCCAGACTTCAAATCGTGGCTAAAGTTCAGCTGACTTCTTAAAGCCTAGATCATAAAGACATTTGTCAGAAGAGTGTCTTAGCCTTGTTGTTGGCCTCAAGACTTCTGCAGATGTTTGGAAACGCCCAAAGAATGCCTATGCAGGTAATTATCAAGCTAGGGAGTTCCAACTAACCCAGCAACTCCAACTCTGCAATAAAAGAAATTCAACCCTATTAGAATATATATACAAATTCAAGAGTATTTGTGATGATTTGGCAGCCAATGGAAAACCTGTACCAAATGAAAATAAGGTATTTTGGTTTCTTAATGGATTTGTTCCAAAATATGAGATTTTTACTACCATCATGCTTAAACCTCCGATTCCTTCATATTCTAAAATTATACCTCTTCTTCAAAGCCATGAGATTAGAAATCAGCCTCATTTCATTGAAGAACACTTAGATCCAAATTGGAATATGGCTTTTATTGGACAACAAAAAATAAAGGTAACCGAAATGATAGAGGTAGAGGGAGAAACAACTTTGGTGATCAACAATTCATCAACTCTCGAGGACGTGTGCTTGTTCAAACTGGCCAGATCAGTAATGTGGGCCGTGGGGTACCCAAGAAAAACCAAGAAAGTGGTGTTACACTTCTTATGTGACACATGAATCAAGGTTTCCAATAAGATTCCCATATACAACAGTCATCACAAACATCTCGATAATAATGTCAAATTTGTGGGAAATTTAGACATAGTGCATTGAAGTGTTTGCATCGATTCAACCAAACATACCAAACATAAGATACTCCTCAGACCCTTGCTTCAATGACTATAGTTGCTTCACAAGACTTAAAATGGTTACCGGACATAGGTGCCTCCACTCATATGACAAGAGATCTAGGTAAGTTGTAAACTCTTTGTCCCTATAGTGGTACATGTATGATTATGGTTGGGAACGGTGAACAATTAACTATTTCACATGTTGGTGATACAAATATTGATATTGGGTCTGAAAAATTCAATGTTTCTAATGTTCTTTTGGTACTTAAAATGAAAATGAACATGTTATCTGTTAGTCAATTTACAACAGATTTTTCTCTTATTTTTTAGTTCTCGTCAACTGGTTTTCACATTAAACAAAGGAGCGCAGAGAGAACTCTGGCTAGTGAGAGTAGAAAAGGACGAATGTATACACTTGAAGAAGTAAAACAAGTTTTATTATGTAATCGAAATAGAAGAACATCAGAAGATGTAGTGACGTCAATGCCTTGGACATCCTCAAAATAAAGTTGTTCGTTATTTAGAATCTAAACGGTTGATTAATGTTGATGCATAGAATAAATCTCATTCTATTTATATTAGTTGTCAGATGGGAAAAAGTTGTAAGTTTCTTTTTAGTAGTGCTGGTAAAACTTCTATTGAGCCTCTCTTTAAGATTCACTTAGATTTAGGCGGCCCTGCTCTAATTTTATCTAAGTAGAGTTATCAATTTTATATGGTGTTTGTTGATTTGAAACGAAAAATATGAATATTTCATTGCCTTTATGAAATTTCATTGTATGGTTGAAAGGATATTTGACTAAAGAATTCGAGTTTTTCAATATAATGGAGATAGTGAATTTGTCGAAAAAGAATTTATTGATCATCTTAATGACAATGAAATCATGCAACAATTATCATGTCCGGGAACCCCTGAGCAAAATAGAATAGCTGAAAGAAAACATAGAAATATTGTCGAATTGGACCTTACAATAATGTTTCATGCAAGAATTTCTAAACGTTTTTGTGTTGAAGTTTTTCATACTATAGTATTTGTTATCAATTGAATTCTCTCTACCAATTTAAAAATGGGTTTAACATACTCATTATTGTTTGGACGCTTACCAGACTACTCATCACTTCAAGTATTTGGTTGTTGGTGTTTTCTATATCTTCGAGATTATACTACTAACAAATTTAGCCCCTGTTTTCTTCCTTGTGTACTCTTGGGCTATAGTATCCAGTATAAGGGCTATGGATGTCTATATCTATCCACAAAACGAGTCTATATCTCTGGACATGTTGTATTTGATGAAAATATTTATCCTTATACTAATCCCAATTATTTGTTTGATAATGCTTAGGTTCAAGAGGAACTCTCCACTTTTGTAGAATGGTCAGAGTGTTATGAGCTTGATATACAAACTCCTTTCTCTTCTTTTTCATCAATTCCACATTGA